GCACCATTCCCTTAACTTGGTTTGGTCACGCCTCTGTGATGTACAACTTTTTTCCTCCCGGTTTGTTGACAAACATTATCGCTGGCTGGATAACGTGGTTAGTCGGTCTCATCTCCACTTACACAACCCCCTTACCATCATCCTCATGCCAAATTGCAGTAATTAGCACTGGGATCTCCACGAGCTGGTTTGTTTGGCGGTTTAGTTGGGGACAGTTGCAAATATGTTTATAATGATGATTTATGTGGTTAAGTGGGCGGTTATCACTCGGTTGTATAAGCGACCAGCAAAAATGCACTGATAAGGGTAATTCGTATTGGTTTCCTGAAAGGGGAATTACATGGTTTGGGAATTTAAAAAATATTTCTATGAATGTGGTTATTTTGTGGTTTAGATATGATTGATTTTGGTGGTTTTGAATTAAATAAATCTAAGTATAACTTGCATTTTATTATCATATTGTCATCATATTATCAATTACTATCTTATCCTGTGAAATTTATGATTGATTAACCCATGGGATTTTTGATATCCTATCGCTGGTGTTATCAGCTTGTTAGATTAAGGGTTATATTTAAACCGTGTTAGGGGTAAAAGCTCCTTGGTGCAGTGAACCACCTAGATAATTAATTGACTCTAAGTAATTCCCATTCACTGCTCACTCAGGAGTGCTTCGCACTTCGGATGACTTTGCCTTTACCCCCCGGTCTTTCGGCCATTAACCATTAAAGTCAGCCTGGCGGCAATTAAACCGCAGCTCTTTATTAATCGCGGACCGCTGATGTGGAAGACGATAATGCCGGTGACGAGGCTCAAGTGCGTCAGCAGACGGAAAAAATGCACGAAAAAGTTTACGGCGTTGGGAAAATGCAGATCATCAAAGGCAACAGGGGAATAAAATTAATAAAGTGTAAAAGGATTTTGTCTCGCCGACATCTGGGGGACTATAAATCTGCTGGTTACCCCATCCCCCCCCCGGCTCAAAACCTGACCCCATAATCCTTTATTTTCGTTTTCAATTTGTTGGAAAAGGCAAACAGAAAGTGTTAAAAGTATTTCTCATGCGGAAAATCCACAGTGACTGGCCAAGCGCTGACAAACTTTTCCCGGCCTTTTCCACCCATTTCACCACCCTTTTTCCCCGAATCCCCTGTCTTTTCCTAAGTGGCTGCGACACTTCTGTATGCATAATTTAAACAAAAGTCGCCGAAAAACTAAGGGGAGAACGAAAGCTGAAAAACAAGCAGCAGCAACAGAAAGTTGCAATTGCAGAAATTGAAAAATTTTCCACATAAAAATATGCGCCAGGCATGAAAAACTATCCGGGGGAAAAACAAGAGGAAAATCAGAAAGTAGCAGGAAATCTTACACTCAGCCAAGATGTCGACAAAGTGTCGTGCATGTTGTTGGCCAAATGTTTATTGTCGAAAAGTTAAGCAGAATGCAGATTGCCCTGGAAGGAGACAAACAAAAACCCTTTTAAGACTAATAAACTGTTTTATTTTTCGAAATCACATTGCTTCAATCATCCAAGTTAAAGTTCACAAATTTGACTTACTTTAGCTTTACTTCTCCTTTATGCAGTTTTCATAATTTTACTTGGACATAAGTCTTTCTAATTTATGGCTCCAATTGAATTAACATTTATTTGGCCGGCTTTCTCTGGAAAAAGAAAGCTAGAAACGAAAATCTTGTTTGCGCCAAAAAGTTTGGGGTTTAAAGCAATTAAATCTGCATTTGCTTAATCAAAAACAAATCACAAATTATGATGTTTTTAGAAAAACGTTTGCGATTTATTTAGGTCAAAGTTGGCAAGAATTGTTGAGTTTCAATAATTGCAGAGGAAGCAAATTTCAAAATATAAACAGTGTGTAAAGTTTCAGAGAACTTAACAAATATGAGAGTTCTTTAATTCAACTAATTTCTTTCTCTTCTATAACGACAAATTTAAAAATATCAACAGCTGGGGTAAATATATATCTATATATAAAAGTTCTTTAATTTAACGAATTTCTAGTAGTTAATTTATAAAAACTTCTAATTTTAAAACATTCCTCTAACGGTTTTTTAAAATTCAAACAGTGAATACCAAGTCACGGAATGCAGTATTTTTATGCTCAAATAAATACCGAAAGCTTTCAACCAGCTTTTGTAAACATCGATTACTTCGCTGTTAGTATCGATGTTTCTCCCACCTCTAGCGCCAAACACACCGTCTCAACGAGTAAAAAAATCCGATAATTGCAATTAAATAAAAAAACAGCAGCAACAGTGAGCCAAAATGGAGGTGGAAAGCCCGGAACACACGCGCGACTTCGCCGAGGTGGACATCAACAATGGGGCGGCGGGCTCGGGATCGGATGACGAGGAGGAGGAGGTGCCAGCGCCGGGCAGCGTAACCCTGGATCGCAACGAAAGTGATCTTTTTGTGTCCGCCCTGAGTCCCAGCAGCATCGGGGATGTCCACGTAAGTGGGGTCAGTGGACCCACCGATCCGGGGAGCAGCCCGCATTGGGGGCTCTCTATTAAATTAGCTCCAATTTCGGGGCGTCGGTTGCTTTATCAGCGTTCGCTTTGTTTGGCTTTGCAACTACGTCACTAGTGCCGCCCACCAGCAAAGCTTGTTGCTCCATAGAAATAGTATATGTATCTAATCACACTCCCTTTCCCAATCCCCTCCAGCCACTGCAGGAAGTGCTCACCGACGATGGCGACTACTTCATCAGCATTGTGGTCTCGGATCCACAGAAAATAGGCGATGGCATGGGCTCCTATTTGGCCTACAAGTGAGTCACCGCCCTTATCATAGAAAACATATAAAATTGCATTATAAACCCACTTATCTCCAAACAACAGGGTGACGACCAAAACGAACATTCCCAAATTCAAGCGCAGCGAGTTCAGCACCATGCGTCGCTTCAGCGATTTCCTGGGCATCCACGATCTGTTGGTGGGCAAGTACATGCGGCTGGGACGCATCATACCGCCGGCGCCCTCCAAGAACATTATCGGCAGCACCAAGGTCAAGATTAGCCCGCAGCAGGGCGAGCCGGGCACACCCATGACACAGGAGTGGGTAGAGATCCGCCGCGCGGCCCTGGAGCGATTTGTCCATCGCACTGCCCAGCATCCGGTGCTGCGCGTCGACCTGGACTTCATGAACTTCCTGGAGAGCGACCAGGAGCTGCCGCGTTCCGTTAACACCTCGGCTCTCAGCGGAGCCGGCGTGATCCGTCTGTTCAACAAAGTGGGCGAGACGGTGAATAAGATCACCTACAAAATGGATGAGAACGATCCCTGGTTTGATGACAAGATCACAGAGGTGGAGAGCCTGGATGCCAATTTGCAGAAGCTGCACAATGCCATGAAATCGCTGGTCACCTCGCGGCGGGAGCTGTCGCTGCTTACCGGCTTAGTGGCCAAGTCGGCGGCCATGCTGAGCACCTGCGAGGAGCACACCGGACTCTCGAGGGCGCTGTCCAACCTGGCGGACGTGGAGGAGAAGATCGAGCTGCTGCGCTCCGAGCAGGCCAACTCAGACTTCTTCATTCTGGCCGAGTTCATCAAGGACTACTTGGGTCTATTCGGGGCCATCAAGTGCATTTTCCACGAGCGCGTCAAGGCCTTTCAGAATTGGCAGTACGCACAAATGCAGTTGTCCAAGCGGCGGGAGAACCGCGGACGCTTCGAGCTGGCCAACAGGGCGGATAAGCTAGATCAGGCCCAGCAGGAAGTGGACGAGGTGGGTCTGATGAAATCTTGTTATCTTCTCTTAATAACCCATTATTTGCTTTGATTGCAGTGGCAAGGCAAGGTGCAACGCTGTCAGCAGCAGTTCGACGACATTTCCGCTGAAATTAAGCGCGAAATGGAGCGATTCGAATTGACCAGAGTTAAAGACTTTAAAGTGAACATTATCAAGTATATAGAAGACCAAATGGCGCATCAGCAACAGGTAGATATTTCTATAATAACAAAAAAAAACAATAAAGGTTAATGATCTTGTCTGCCTTTCAGATCGTCAGCTATTGGGAGGCCTTTGCTCCGTTCGCCCGCGACATTGTTTAACTCTTATTCCGCTTATCGATGCATTTCCAGAAACTTGTTGAATAACCAACAGCTATGCGCGGGACCAAATTCGTTCTTAATCCATCGATTTGGAGCTAAAATTTCGCCTTCAGCACTTATCTTGCAATTCGCGGCGGCCGAGATCGTATTGTTATGAAACTGCTTTCGATTCCTCTCAAGCATAGAAAAGTTCAACTTTATCGTTGCTTTCACAAAGCCTATATCTCTTTATTCGTACACAGTAATTATCAAGGCTTTTATACATTCACAGAAAGCTGCAAGTTTGCAGACTCCAAGTTCTGCTTTTTCTCATTCTAAGTATGTATTCGGTATTATCAAAAAACGGCAATGATCTATTAATTAGATAAAAGTGAAGAAGACTCATTGGCCCTTTCCAAATTGAAGTTTATACCACGATGGTTGGGAAATGATTTTTTCCCGTTTATTGTTGGTATATTTATGTATTTATATATATATTCCTATTAAAACATTTTGTATCATGACAAAGAGAGCATTTCAACAAATAAATTTGTAAATATGTATAGATGTACATCGTTGTGGTGTCTTATTGTCTGAGTATATCGTCGTTATAATTAGTTGCAAACGGTTTTATTTTATTCTTGTTCAGTGGCCGCCTAACAGTTTTAATAGAATAAATATATTTAAGTGGTTTTGTAATTTTAAAAGCTTTTAACATTAAAACCAGCTAGTTCAAGTTATTTGAATTATAAAGTTTAAAATAACGTTCAAATGCTAAAGTGACCATGCCTTCTTATCCAAACAAATATCACTATCACGATATAAATATTTATTTTAATACAGAAAATATCGATATATTTCTTACATTACGTTGATTGTGTCCCTCTTTAGCTGACACTACGTTAATCGACACTTACGTTTCCTTACGATTTCTGACATTCACAAAAATTGCGCATACGCCGAGGTTTCCGTGTGAATCACTTCTCTTGAAATAAACGGACCGAAAGCTGGTAAAGGCAGCTGCAAATTAGTTGATTACTTGCATTTAACAAACAAACAAACCCCGCTGACCACTGGTGATGTCACAGCTGCGCTCCAAAGTCATTACCCTCTACAAGCACGTAAGTTCTGTGCGGTGTTTTTTCCGGGTGGCACGTGCACCTCCCTTACCCATCCAAAATTGAAAAGAGCACCCAATTGACATTGCGTAAACACTTGCAGTTGCAGTACCTGGGACGCGAATATCCCGGCCTGAATGGGCCGCAGAAGTTCAGGAAGCAGATTCACGATGCCTTCATGAACCACAAGGATGAGCAGGATCCCAAGAAGATCGTGGCCCTGCTGGCCCAAGGACGCTATCTGGCCAAGGAGGTGGAGGCCCTGTACTCCCTAAAAAAGTACCGGAGTGTTAAGCAGCGCTATAGCTACAATGACTAAGCGGGCGGAACGAGAAGAAGGCGTGGCAGCGATGCGGAAATCGTGGCGAAAATTCAAGGACTGATGATTATGATGATCGGGGAGAGTACGACGGAGGAGGAATCGTGAGAATATGATATGTTTGCCTTGCTTGTCGCACACAAAAGAGTACCACATACCTATATATATAATATATGCATATTGTTCGGCCAAAGCAATCTGAACCCAAAACACACAACAATAATTTCGAATGTCTTGTCAATGTCCAACTTAAAGTTTGTTATTGAGGCAGCCAAAAAAAGCGAAAAACGGACGTAGCGAATAAACGAAGCAGTCATTGAATAAACCAAAAAAACCAAGACCAAGTTAATTGAAGGCACTGGAAAAAAGACATGCCATATCAGAAAGGCATAAAAAATGAATCATGATTAATAAAATCACAACAGATACTATATTTTAAGTTCTCAAAATGAAAAAGATATGTTGCTAACTTAGGATTGTATCTTTTGTGATATCAAGATGATCTTGGTATATATCGATAGTATCCCTATTCCCAAGGATAAAGATCTCCCAATGGATCGTTACTTTCTTTCTGTGCAATGACCTTGGATCGGTTCCTCCGGAAGGGGCCTGGCAGGTGTCTGTTTATCTGGGTCTATTTCGGATATGTCGCTGTGATTAAAGTATCTATCAGATATTCGGCATGTCTGCCAACATTCCCCGAATGCGTTGGGCGCCGTCTCGCCATCGCTTATTGACAATATTGCGTATTTAAATTCATCTGACCGCTGATCGTGGGTCGCCCCCATCTATATATAAGTCAGTATAGCACACGCTGACCACTAACTGTCCATGTCTTGGTGATAAACAACCTACGACGCCGTCGGGTTGATTGAGCTTTTGATTTCGCGCTGACGAAAACATGAAAGCTGTATTGCAATGCCTTTAAAGGGAGATTTTAAAAGACTCACATACAAATACTATTCACTTTTCAATGTTATCAGAGAGCTTTCAACTGATAGGAGAGTGATGGAATGCCATTGTGAAAAGCACACGCTTATTGTAAATAACTTAGTGGATTTTTACATTATAAGCTGTCGGTTATATTTGTATTGACGTAGTCTTCGTCTGATAGGCTGTTTTTGGGACTACCGACCACGAAATACCTCCTAATTTGATTTTAAAAATTAATTATATTGGCCCTAAATATTTGTAAGTCACATTCACAAAATTTTTTGATCAATTTAAGAAACACTCATTAATTAAGACGCTAGAAGATAATTGATAATTTATATAATTGATATTATACCCACGAATCAATTATTTTACTTTGATTTGCCAGCTCACACAGACCGGCACTCAACCTAAGAAGCAAATATGTTGCATTATTAAACGATTTAAAAAGTATAGAGTATAACAAAATTGCACATACTAAATGCGTTCGTTAACTCCAACCCACTTCTCGTTAAAATATAGGTTTCACCGGATGTGCATTTTAATTTGTAGTATGAAAGTTGTTTGACCGTGACTGCTTTGACTGCAATTTTCAATTACCAACAAGCGGAAATGCATATCCTTACAGGTAATCAGCAATTCTATCGAATTTCCAGTTTGAATACATTTAATATGTTTAAAATATAATTGATTCATAATGTATAAGCTAATTACTAATGAATGACACTTTTTGAACATGTCATAGCTGTTTCTTAAAGCTAACTAATCCATAGAAAAACAATCATTACTCACTAAGAACTACAATCAATATCCTTGGAAACATTTGTGCGCGGGGAGGTAAACAGAACTAAAACAATATTCGCATTGAAGTGCACTTAATTCTATCAATCCTAGCATAAAATCACAATCTTTTCCAGTGGAAAGCGTTATGGTGGAGACTTGGAAATATAGAGAGAGCAGGAATTCACAATCAGCCAAACTCAAAGCCGAGGACCTCATCCAACGCGTAATCAAATAGCCGGAAGTCCTCCTCATAGATATCGTACAGCTTGCGTATGGCACCGATGGGAAGGGGATCGAAATAGGTGCGCAGATTGGCCCGAGTGCTCGATGGCTTGTGGCCAGTGGGGAATGTTAGATTGTTGGCCCCAGCCAAGTAGAGAGCCAGGGCGGAATCGTCCAGCAGAGTGTCGTATTTGCCTAGAATGATTATTATTTGTTTATCAATAGTTTCTTGGTCATATGATATTGAGACTCACCAACTACATTGTATTTCATTACACAGGGATTGCACAGCTTGGCTATAACCTCCCAGTGCTCGTTGTAATCCGTCTGATTGGCACGACTTAGCTCCGGGGTAACCAGATATTGGATAAACTCCCCAAAGCTGACATCGTCGCCGCGCTCCAGCGAATCGTTACTGGCACCCGGCCGCAGTTCTTTCACAATTTGGCGACCCACCCGCGACTGGAAGTACCGGGCACTGGGGGAATCCCCCTCCAACTTATTCCTATAGGCCGACAGCAGCCGCTCGAAGGGATGTCGCACCAGTATAAATCGTGTATACTCCTCGCTGAGCACCTGCTGCTGTTCCACCTCGGATAAATCGTACAGTTTAGTGAACATCCCCACTGAGTGGGCCAAAGAGCCCGGAATCTGCAGAGGATCGGTTCCGTTGTGCCACTTGTCCGTGAGCATCATCAGCACCCGTTTCCAGTTCGTGCAGGCAACCTGGAAAAGATAGAAATGTATTAAAATTTGTTTAGTTGAACACTATTCTTCGGCCAATTAGACCAAATAAACAAGAATTATAATTTTTTTCGTTTACACTATGAAGTATTTCAGACCGAAGGTTAAGTTTTCTCGTAGAATACCATTGATTTCGGGGTTGCTGAGTGAATCACCTATTTCTTACGCATTTCACAAGTCAACATAATTATAGGGAACCACCGATAAGCAGAAATACATCAACCCTTTTTCCATTAAAATTTGTATGAGTGGTTTCAATAGATAATGAATTATGTGCAGGTGTCTTTTTTAAACTATTCACAGTTTATTAATAGTCATTAGAACTGTTAATGAATGGGTACCTTTTTTAATGCCTGGGTATTAAAATGCAATTAAATTTTAATGATTAAATAGAGCGTTATTAAGCAATAATATGTTCTGACAAAATGAAATTAACCTTTAATAAATTAATATTTCAAAGTATTGCTAGTCTTAAGATTATTAAAAGTATGTGACTCAAATTAATTCGAGAACAGAGAAAATCTTAAAATGCAGTACGATCAGAAAGGAGGCCACCAAGCTAATTTAATATGATATTAATATCAAAATCGAAAGCAACTGGCCAGCAAATTGGAAAAGAAATTCAAGTTGCCTTTGTAACCTGATACTTTGTTCAAGAAACGAGAGACAAGTGACCCGGCAATACAAATTTACTTTTTATAGTACTTTTTATCCACTTGCTGAGGGCTAAATGAAATCTCCTCAAAGTATGATGAGCTGAATTACTTTGGTTTTAATTGCCGAGCGCAATAAATTATAATTTCGCCAAGAGAGATGGCCAGATGGGCAGGGAACTACACTCTCGGACATTGGGCAATAAGTCAAGTTGTTGAACTAACGAAAACTAGGAACAACAAAGTCTACGTAGGAATAACATTCACATAAATACATGCCAGAGTCTATATAAACATTGGGTTGTTCGGGCAATGTCGAGCCCAATTAAACACCGCAAAAACATTTCACATTACAAAAACAAACAGTTCCATATACAGGGGATCTACGTTTAGCAGTGGATGAGGTGAGAATGTGAGGCAATGTACAGAAAAGCACAAAAAGATCAGCCGCAAGGTTAAGATATGTCAAAATGTCGGTCTAAAGTGAAATGGATAAATGTTTTATAGACAAAAATTGACAACTTCCATCAGATTCCCTGTCACTCATCCTTAATGATTTTTGTTTACATCAACTTTCTAAATTTTCAACATCCTTGGCAACTTTTTTATACTTTAATCTGCTCTACCTCGCTCATTTTCACTTTTTTCCTTTTTTAAACAAGTTAGAGTTTAAACTGCTTTTGAATGCTTAAACAACTTTCAGTACTTGAAGAAGTGTCAATATGCCAGATGAAGTAAAATGTTTATTGTCGGTCTCAGTTTGTTAGTCTTGGAACAGCTTAAATACTTTTTTACATGAAGTACACCTTTTAAAAGATTTTTCAGAAGCTTAGCACTTTAAACAAGATGATTTTTTGTTAGTAAGTTAAAAACAATAAAAATCCTAAAATCTATTGATATACCAACAATTAGGTCAAAGACCTTTAAATTTTTAGATCCAAAAATGCTGCAGTGATCAATATTATTATCCTTTCTGGATCCCTTTTTAATACAGATTGCATGATCATGTTAAAGGTCAGCCAAATATAGGGAAACTCCTCATACGTAAGCAGTCGAAAACGCAACCATCTAACGCAATTTCTTTATAGCCATTAAAGCAACACGCGATGGTCGCATAAAAATTTCGACCAGAGGGGCGAGCCCCCCTTTTCAGGGGGACCAAAGGGGAGGAGCTGGTGGAGAGGCTATTGGCCAAGGGTAAACATAAACAATTTACGACTTCATGGAAGAACGAGCTGGGAACATGTAGAGCTAGCCACTCAACAAGTGGCGAATGAGAATGCGAAACCAAGACAAGGCTAAGCAATCGAAATCTGTAACCGCTCCACTGACCCCTCCTGGGTGGTGAAAACGAAACCAGTCGCGCTCATGTCCGATGATAGTCATTGAAGAAACGTCAAGATAACAGGGAACGTGTGTCGAGGCATTCGGGTGGCATGTTCCCCAGACACGCCCCCAGGCAAGTGGAACACTTCAATGGCATTGTGTGTCTAACAATCTCTGTACAATCCGGCTGGGGACTGGCTTTAACTAAGTGGGGTATACTTGATCGGATAGTTGTAGTTGAAGCTGAGCATTGTAAACAGAGTGATTATCTCAACAACATGTAATAACTTGCTTTCTAATGGAATATGTTATACAAATAATTACATCCTAAGATTTTAATCGCTATTTCCTCCTAATAAAACATACTTTTGGGTTTGTAAATTATTGTAATCCAATAACCATCATACTAGCCTAATCTACAAGTCCAGAAGTACCTTTAAGTTCATACCAATAAATAATTTTCCACTGTGATACTATTGGATATTAATGGCTGCGAATTCCCAAAATGATTTGACAGAAGGTTGGGTTCAAAGGGCAACGGCAACATGAAACACTGAGCTATTTCGGTACAACTCTTGTCACAACTCACCCAACTTCAAACACCCAAGAACCCGGCACCTGGCAATCTAATCTTATAGTTTTGGTTTCATGTTTTTCAATAACTCATTGATTGATAAGAGCTGTAAAGGCCATTTCCTATAGCTGCATTAAAAAAATTAATTTCCTAATCCAATTAGGCAAATATCATTAAGAGTGGACACCAAACTAATTTAATAAAAAGATTATCTCCAGCTATGGACGTCACAGAATGACCGCGAGGCAATTCAACTGAAAAATCTTATTCTATTTAAAAATTTCATTAAATCAAGCTTATCAAATGGAGTCAAATAGTAAGACAGAAGCGCAGACGTTTCAAGACATTGGCCTTTGACTTGGACCCAAAAGATTAGCGATTTCAGATGACTGGCAGTTGCAAATGTAAATTAAATGGCAACGACTTACAGAATTACTGGCCTATAATTGCTGCTCGTTTGACAGAGGAATTCTTGCCCCTGTAATTGATCGTTAAATCGCGTGAAATCAGCGCTATATTGAATGCACATATATAAAGCTGACACGAGAATCGACTCCCCCTTTCGATAAGCCAGAAGTGGCGCGAGCTTAGCAATCAAATGCACTCGTAATGGAGCTCTCCATAAATCAACTCAAGCAAACCCCACTTTTTATAAGGATTTTACAGCTCGTAATCTGGTTATTTGAAGGACTGTCTGCGCTGGTGATTCATAAAGTTTTGTGTCAAATTGTTGGCCAAATAAACATTTCATCAATGGCCGTTCATGCCGATGCCACAAGACGCAAGATCAACAGAAGCTCAACATGTGCTTCAAACGGAAAATGAAGACAAACAAGTTTCTATAAACAAGACAGAGGCACAAACTGAAAACTGAGATTTTTGACTTTTGTATGTTGAGGTTTTTTAATGGGACGGCACATGGCAACCGCAAAGAAAATATATCAGCAGAGAGTTTGTTAAAAGATTGCAGATGTTAGATTTGCGATTGAGTTTAAGTGTCTGCTGAATAGGAAGATTAAAGAATTGGCTCAAAAGAAGCTTGTAATCTGATATATATAGCTGATAAAATGAATGGATGGTTCACTAACATAAAAACAATTGAGCTCTTACTAATTTATTAGCTTGCAAAATTGATTAGCTTGAGCAAAAGCATTTCAAAAAGAGGCACAGCAAATAAATTTAGCAAAGCACTACTAATCAAAATTCACTGCTGAATAGCGCATTTATGCAGAAATGAAAAAAGGCATGCCCGTGTCTCGAACATTAATTTGCCGAGCCAGCATTTGAATGGCTGCCCTTCCCTGCGGATTCATACCTTTGGCACATAGCAGTACAGCAGCTTGTGCTCCCTGTCAACGATCATGTGGTCCATCTGCAGCTCGCTGAGATCCTCCAGCGTTTGCGCGTGATCCCCCAGCAGTTCGCATTGCCGCTGCATGTACTCTTGCCGCTGGATATTGATGGTTTGGGTCAGCTCCAAGCTGCGGCGGGTGATCTTGACATTGTTGTTGTTGCCATCCTCGAAAGGCAGGCCAGCGGAGAAATTCCCCAGGAGCGAAATGCCAAGTGAAATGCAAAACGAAAGCCAAACCAGTTGATCCATATTGACCGCGTTTTGCTGCCCGACTTTCGAATCGGATGGTTGACACTCTTTGGGGACACTATCATTTGGTTTTGATTGACTCTAACTCTGTCGCTGGCGCCCGAAATATTTGACGCGATGGACAAACTTCAGGGTGGCGGCGTTCTCAATGCCCAGCTCCTTTAGGGTGGCCCTGCCGCCAGAGCGTCGGTCGTCGATGGGCTGATTGGTGTCCACGTTGAGCAGTCCAAAACAGCGCCATAGAAATCGCCACGAGACGAACGCGCGATGATCATGCCCGTTGCGCTGAGCGGAGTGAACTAACTCGCCGGTGGAGCTGGCCACCACAACTGGTTGGCGCTGCCGTCGATCGTCGGAGTCGTCGGAGATTCCCCGACGCCGAAGACGCTCTTCGTACCGCTCGCGCTGCCTGCGCTTGTGCTGGGCGCGCGAGATCAAAGCAATTGCCCTCTTCAGCTGTGCGATCGTCGGCTCGCGCTGGTGGAGCTGCAAGAAAACGACGGGGAATCAAGTTAGTCAGAGAAGAATTGGTTCTGAAGAGATATGAGGGGATATTAAAGAGAGTCGAGCTTAGACAGAGTCGGCCAGTTAAGGATAAAAGTATTCTGGGTGGTCAATAGAGTTCTCTTAAAAATTATACTCAGTTAGGAAATGCATGTATAGCTAAAATAGTTAATAAATCTGAAGAACTACCTCTGTTCTATACTAGATTGATATTTTAATAAAACAATATGGATATTTAATACGGTTGTCTTGATCAGCCTACCCACATTCTTAACAAGTGTACCCTTAATAATCAATTATATTATTTTAAATTCTTATTATTTCTGAGGACTACTCTTTAAGAAGCAACTAGTGAATATCTAAGAAATGTTAACAGATTAGTTCTGACCCACTTTCCCTGTAGATGACTTTTTGTTAGAGCTCATCGTTATGACTGGCTAATTGACAAGCCCATTGAAAGCGAGTGCAAGCAGCTGCGACTGAGATCAATTCAAGGGAATACTGACCACCACGGTGAGAGTGCTGAGTCCATCTCGCTGCACATGGATCGTCGTGGCCTGTCCCTCGGCGATGGCAATCTGGAATTATGAAATATATGTATAGGTACTGTAATACGACCAGAAGGCAATGAAACGGCGTAACGGGAACGGAGTTCTTCATAATAAAAGTCAATCAATTAGCATGTTGAGTGTTCGGCAGTAGGTCAGTAGTCAATGACCAATATCGGTGACGAAAGCATTGCAAGAACGACCATCTCAAGGTGCTAATTGCCACTAGTTATAGTGGGTTGGAGAGTATCTGGTTATATGGATGGCCAAATAACTCTTAATGATATTTGCTATTCCTTTGTATTCCAGGCGATCTAGTTTTGTCAATCAAAATTAGCATTACAATCTTTGATATTTCGCATCAGGGCTTTTGTTATGCTGATTAAGGCGTTATAAACGTCATTAAGCGAAAAATTTGGGACAGTTGTACAAAGCGGATCTTTAATTTTTTGCAATATGGCTTTTGTTATGCATAATAAGATGTTTTAAGCGCCATTTAGCGCAAAAAGTTGGAATGGAAGTGGATCAGGGAAACAATTTCATAAGCCAAGAAAAAATGTTCGAGAAAAAACTGTGTTAGTTTTATAAAGTTACATTAGAGATCTGTTTTATTTCTCGCAGTCTGGCATTAATGGAGTTTTGATGATAAGAATTTATAAAAACTTTTGAAGTCTATATTTTTGGAACTGAATTTGACATTGTTCTTGAATCTAGATAGAAGATCTTGAGAAGTTATTAGAGTACTAGAACTTTAAGGATGCCGTTCTCCCAGTGGAAAACTGCCCGTCTTACAGAATTGTTAGCTTCTGAAAAGGTTTTAGAAAAAATCCCTAAACTTTTTGGGATCATCTTACCTCCCCCTGAAGCTCAGTGGGTGTTATGTCGTGGGGGATGTCCGAGAGAGTCTCAAAGTCCTGCAGGATGCGCCGTAGTTCCTGCGAAGTGCTGGCGAGCATGGCGTTGTGCTCTGATCGATCGAAGTCGTTTCGGATGCGGCGGGCATTGGGGACCTCCTGGGGATTCCTCTTCCGCTTCAACCGCTTCCCCTGGATCGTCTCATGGCGATTACGGGCCTCTCGCAGCGCTTTCTTCCGCAGATTCAGTGGCATTTTCTTAAGTTTCTTGTAGGTCAAAACATTGCTGCTGTTTCGTCTATTTTCCCTGTGGGGTGAGCGATCTCTTCTTCTTTCCCTGTACGGAGAGCGTTCCCTTCTTCTTTCCCTATGCGGAGAACTTTCTCTTCCGTAGCGATCCATTATTATTCCCTGTTTTCCGGCACAATTTAATTTAATTACTTTATTTCTTATTTTGATTATCGAAAATCGATAGCGCATCAGCTGTTTTCAAAAGGTGACCACACAATTTTATAAAGAAGCTATCGCAGCTATCGATATACCATTTTTGCTTATAGTATCGATATATCAATTTCCCTAATGATTTCCCGCTCACATCTCTAAAAAGGCGCGAAAATTTGAATTCCAGACATAAAGATATGTTTTTGACATAAGCCACAGGCAATAGTTAGTATTAATTAATTAAGGAGATAAAAAAAAAAATTGTTTATTCAAATGCAATTTAAAAAAAAAACCAACAATTTGTTAAGTACAAAAGTATTTTTAATTTTGCATAAGTAACAGTTTCTAACTGTATTAAAATATTTAGCTCAGTTCACTTTGCCTTTCTCTTCAAAACTATATCTTTTTATTTTTCTGGTTATGGTTTAAAATTTTTTGTTTTTTTTAAGGATGTCTAAAGGTACGGGGCCCTTGTCAAAGTTATATAATGCCACCATTAGTGCTGTAGAAAAGGTTGTTCCAAATGCAATGCAGCCACTTTGGCAATCTCCGGCAGGTAAATGTATCCTTCTATTTTAAAAATATATATTTTAAATGTTCCATTTATAAAGGTCCCCGAACTGTGTTTTTTTGGGCACCAGCGTTTAAATGGGTAAGATTGGAATAGGTTCCAAAGATATCTAGGAAAAATGACAGTTTGAAGCTGCATTCCCTTGCATGCTAAAGTTCTAATAAACCTTTTTTTATGTCCAGACCTTGGTGCTGGCAGGTCTAAGTGATACGCTAAATCGTCCTCCTGGGAACATCTCCCTTAACCAGTGTGCCTCCCTGGCGGTCACTGGTTTAATTTGGTCCCGCTACTCAGTTGTTATAACACCCAAAAACTATAGTCTTCTGGCTGTCAATTTAGGCGTATTTTGTATCCAAGGTTACCTAGTGATAAAGCATCTTAGATGGCGGAGTGAGAATTCCCGGAATGCGGTGTTCAATCATAATAACTATCCTATCAAATCAGAAGATGAATGGTAACAAGCCTCTGGAAGTATGGACTATGTTGAATGATAAAATACGGATGAATAAATGCTGAAATAATACACTTTTTTGATTAATTTAAAGAACACAAGCTTGAAAAAACACCGTTAAAATAAAAGATATTTAAAATTACATTTTGCTAAATAGACTCAAAATATATCTAATTTAAAATACCGGAATATTTTAAGAGCCCATTCCTTTTCCAAATACTTTTTAAAAGTAAATGGTTAAGTAACGAAGAAAACCTGCTCAAAAAACTGTAAGATAATTATTTTCCAAACCCAAAATTGTAATCCGAAGTAATCTGTAATTGGAAGAAGGATTCAAACCGCATTGTCCAAATAAAACACCCACATTTGTTGTGCCGCTCTGAAGCTTTACAGTTTTTATTCCTTTTTCTCTTATGCATTCTTGAAATCTTCCTCGTATAGCTTCTGCTTGAAACTAATAACTCTATCGTTAAACTAATGTGTCACGCCCCCCGATGTTCTGGGGGCGTCGGCTTGGGCATGTGACTTACGACTAGAGAACTAAACTAAATAAAAAGATATAATATAGGAGACTTTTGGCATAAAATCTAAGAGATTGGCAATCGGCTTGGGGTCTCCGGCTGAGGTCCTGGATGCCGTGCTTCTCGTCCTGCGAACGGCCGGGATAGGATAGTGCGCACAAGCCCCGTTGTGATTGGTGATTGGTCGTCCTGTCGCCGGTCGTCCTGCAGCCAATGCGCTGCCTCCGAAAAGGACTCGTCGTTGGCCTCCTGGCTGGGAGGAGGGTGGTGTTCCCTCGGGTCGGGGAGTTGTAGTCGATGGCAGCCCGGCAATGCAGTTGGCAGCACTGCCTTTTTCACGACCACTCGCACACACTCACATCACTGACTTTGCCCGGCCAACAGGCGTATACTTGATATATTACGTATACCACTCGATGCGCATGTGAGCGGGGCAGAGAGAGTATCCTTGTTGGTCGCAAGTTTTCCGTGTGGCTGTGTGTGAGGGTCCGCTTGACATGTTGCCAAAAGAAATGCATTGCAGGGCTGCTGGTTTGCCCCCCGTTTCCCGGGGATTCCCCCCTTTTTGGCCGGGCTTCGTTGCCGCCGCGCGTTGCCATTGGTTGGTCAGACCTTCGGCGGTTGCAGCGGAAAATCGGCTCGACTTTCTGGTTCTCCTCCTTAATTGGCCAACGAGGCTTCCTTTGGGCCTTCAGCTGCTGCAATGGGAAAGGAAAGAGGACTCACATTAGATTTGGCTGCCAAAATAAGGCTACATAATTATTTTTTAGATGGTAAGGGACTCGGGTTTAATCTGGAAACATTTTTGGGCATTTACCAATGAGATAGATAAGTTGCTGTTGCCAAAAATGGTCTTGGTTTTGGGGTTCTTTGTTTTTTATCCTCATTTAAATAAGGTTTTACTGACGTTATATTGGAGGCTATTCGTTTAAATACAAGAAAACTAAAACTAAGACTAAAATTGTTAAATATTAAAACTTTTATAGTGATCTTCAAAATGTATTGTTAGTATGTATGTAATGTATTAAGTTAGAAAAGTTAAATTAAATGTGGAATGTAAATTATAATAATATGTAAAACAAGGTTTAAATATAACAAACGAATATTTAATATTAATTTGTACACATTTTCCACCTTGGTTATTTTAAAAATTATTCAAAATGTCTTTTATTCGAATGTAAAGAATTGAATTTTCAGAAATAGATACAATACCATTCACCAGGCGATCATTAATGAAGAGATATTTCTTAGCAACTCATTTCGGGCTTTCCCAAACTTTATTCATCCCGCTCATCTATTCTTATCTAGACTTCTTATAGACCTGGGCCACTGTGCCGTGGTGGTGGTGTTTATCAGTGGAATGGGTAATGGGCCTCTGCCAAGATGGTAGCTTGCCAAAATCTTGCCTAGAATTTTTCTCACGCTCGCTTCCAAAAAAAAAAAAAACGAAAATTGTAGGAAAAATGATGGGAAAGAAAGAAAGCATCTGAAAGACGGGCGGCATGGCAATGAACTTTATTGCGTAATGCGGAATCTTGGCAAGCGGCTCGATGAGATTCTGCGGGGGAATCCCCCATGCCGATGCTGTCGTGTAATTAAAGCGCCACCTGCCGGCCGATGCGTAAACAAATGAAGCCGACATAATTTATGATCATGGAGTTTTGCCAATAAGTTTCCAAGACGCGCGGCAGACACGCCGTCTGCTTCGAGATCGTTTGCCGGAATGAGCCACTATATCCTCCTCGGCACCCTCATTATTTGTATTCCCCCGGGGCCAAATGACTTCGGGAGAGTTTCCCCCATTTGACTTAGGTCAGGAACTGTGCTATTGAACAGCTGCCAATTGCGGCGAGACCCAAATAATATTTATTCCAGACAATTTACCATCCTGCCTCTAATTTCACACGCACGTGTTAGGTTTACGTGAGTTATGGCCAAGGGAAGTGGTCCAGAAATATCCCAGAAAAAGATCCAAACGATGCTAAGAGGGACAACACTTGCTTTTAATTGCCAGCAGCACAGCTGCTAAATAAATTTATGAGCCCAGTGCGACAATCATTGGCAAATTATGATATATAGCCTTTGTGGTTATTTTTGCTAACTTACTTCCCCATCCATTATTCATTCTTGGACATGGGCGAAAAGTCTGAAAGTGTCAAATGAGTGATGGCTTTGATGTGGTCTTATGTAAGTTGGGAAAATCAGGAAAATTCTAAAGAGAAAACAAGTGTATATAAGAAAACTGAACTTGCTTTGCCACTCAGTACAATTACTTAAATATTTCCTGGTTCCGAGGGAACTAATGAAAGGTTAATCGACGGAAGACCATATATATATTTCAATATATTGAAAAGATCAGATTAAAGATCAAATTATTAATTTAAATTCTAATAAATAAATAATGAAAAATATTTAAAGATTACATCTGAAATCAAAAATGATAACTTTCAATGATCTCATCGCACATGATCTTGTATAGTCAGCTCAACTCAATTAAATCCTTGCAATGTAGCTAATAAATTTAATTTCAATTTTAGAAACGCCCAAAAGTCTGACTAGAAGAATGCTCATAAAGTTCTGGGAAATCTAGAAAATGAAAATATTCTTTAATGTTAAAATCTACGCCCCTTGAGGCGAATCTTTATTATAGAAAGCAGACGGAACGAATTAATAAAGAATATTTGGGACTACATATATACTAAAGATGGCAAAATCGTCTTTGACGTTTTAAGCAAATTTCGCTGTCTTATATTTTTCTTATTTCTGGGGATTGTTGTTGTTGATTCTCATCTGTATATGTACTTGCTGTTTTTCAATGATTTTCAGAGGGAGAAATTCGCCTTTATTTATTTTTTCTAGAAGCCGAAATTCGAAATTCGGCATTTTGGTTGCTTAAAAGTTGATTCTTGTATTTTTTTTTTTGCTCTCGCTTGGTGGCTGATTTTGCCTCGTTTTGCCGTGTTGAATTTTTCATTTACCTTGCTATTTTCGGACACACTTGACGGGCGGAGATCGCCGAGGATCGAAGACCGAAGGCGATAAAAACGTCAAGACCGAAAGAGAAAAGCCCGAGAAAATTGCGCAGAACTGTCGCCTGCCCTTATGTACCCAAAAAAAAATAAAAGAAGAATATATGTGGTATATGCACCATATAGTATACCACATATAAATAGTATTCAGACTCGGGCTCTCTATGTGTTCTTGGATCTTTGAGTTGCGATGACGCGCAATTGACGCGGGCAAAGACGCGTTGAAAGCGTCGCCGCTTTTTCTATTTTCGTGGACAAAACTAATACTTTCGTACGGCCAGAGATATAGATTCAGATACGGATACACGGCTACAGATACAAATGCATCTGGTTGTATATTTCGTTTTAATCTATTTCAGTTGCTTCATCGAAAATGTATTTTATGTGTTGTTCGTTCCTTTTTTTTCTGCTTTTTTTTTGGGTTCCATCTGTCTGTGTTTTTGCCTCTGTCTATAGGGCGACGGCACAAATTGTAATTAGTGTTAGTTTTTCTTAGCTTTAATTAGAATTTGCTTAATTTGCACGACGGCGTGTGTGTTTTATGGTAAACAAATGAACCTTGAGATGCAGTTAGCCTGCAGTTTATTTATCGAATGTGCAGTCGTTTAATTGGGTTAATTCGGGGGTAAGGAAGGAAGGCTGTTGTGCAATCATCCTTTTTTGCATAGCAGTACCCTATTACATAATGAGAAATTAATTTAATCTCTACTTGGATCTAACTGATGGCCTTTTGTTTATGTAATGCTTAAACCCCTTTATAAAATTGTAATAAAATTACATAATGACTTGCGTTATACATTATAATTTTAAACATATCTGTTGTATGTTTATTTATAACAGGTCATAAACATTTTTCAAAAACACAATTTTCCAGCTGAAAGAACACCAAGTTGGTTTGCATTTTTATAAATCTTTTCAAAAAACAAAAACGCAATTCACTGTTTATTTTTATCTACGAAAAAGCAGCACATGTTTTAATTATTTTTATAAACTGCAGTGAAAACCTGCAACAAAAATTAAAAACCAGATCGTCTGCTTCTAAAAAAGCGTTGCCATCGCTCTAAAATCTGATGAAAACTGAAAGTCAATCAAATGAGCGGGAAAAAGAAAAACCAAGCACCCGAAAATGCGAAAAGATAAATAGAAAATCGTAATCGGGAAATTGGCAGGCTGCAAATATTAACTGGCTGCCAAAAGCAAACAACAAAAAAAAATTTGCTTGAATATTGGCCAATAAATTTTACAAGACGTTGACATTTGGCCAACGACAAACGGCCTTGCCGAAGGCCAATCAAACGTCATTATTGTGTTTTATTCGTGTGAGTTGGCGGCGGGTGATAAACACAATCATAATGATAATTGGACACCTGTTGGCAACTGCTGGCTGGTGGCTGGCCAAGAATTCTTTGGCCAATTCAACAACAATCGGTGACGTACCACCGAACTGGGCAGCTCGTCAAAAATGTGCGTCAGCAATTAAAATCATAATGAGAGTGCCAAGTTAGAGGCGCCACACCGCCCCCAAGCCACGCCCCAATCCACGCGCCAGCCACGCGATCCGCATTCCACAGGATGCGTTGCCAACGATGATGCCAAAAATCTTGGCAGCACCCGGCCAAAAGCCAAGAAGCCGTCGACTGCTGGCTGCGTTTGTTTATGTTTATGTTCGAGGCGCTTTTGGGTTCCAGGGAATGGGAAAAAGGCCCACAGGATGGAGCGGAAACGGAAGTAGAAAGGGGGAAGAAATGAGAAAAGAGTTGGAAAACTCGTGACAGAGAAGCTGGAATACTCTATCATGTAGGAAAAGGTATTATAATAGATTTCCAAAATATTTATTGTCAAATAACAATTTTTCCGGAAAACTTTAGCGTACTAGAAAAACACTCTAACATTTATGACAAAGAAAGAATATTAGATACCCAACATAATAATAGACAATAAACTAGTTTCTTTTATCAGGAAAATTCTGATAAGATTATATCTTTCATACAATAAAATAAATATTTTAAAAAATTGTAAATTGGTTGCTAACAGCTTTTATTTTCTAAAAAATTACAAGAAGATGATTAAAAGACGATCCAAATAAAATTGTTAACTAAATAATGTGATATCATCTACGTTCGGAAGAAAAAAATGCATGATATGGTAAAATTAGTTGAAAGTCCCATCATAGAGAAGCTGGAGTTATGTATAATATATAGTTAACATTAAGGAAAGGGTAAAATATTAAATCTCAAAGTAATTGTTTTAAGGAAACCTAGATTCGTTATTCATAAAAAAAAATGTTAATAAAATTATAGCTTCTTTCTAATCCAAAAAAAATATTTTATAATGTGTAAATAATACTAAATAGTATTTCATTAGATAAAATATATTATTTTTTTAAATATTTTATTAAGATTATAAGCCATTCATAAAAAGAATATCCAAACATAAGTGATAACTGAAGAATTTTGATGTAAAGACGTTCTATATTTTATTTTTTTGTAAAAATTAAGATCGTTAAATTAAAGACCAGCTTTTCAGACAAATAACCTGAGGAATCTATTCAACTTCTAAGATAGGAAAACCTAACTCATAAAAAAACGCCTTGCAAGATGGAAAATTTGTGAAGTGTTGGCCACTGCAGCAGCAGAAGAATCACCACCGCAGACTTGTAGGCGCTGCCAATTGCAGACTGCGACAATGCGGCGTATACGTGATGAAGAAGGAGTCGCCACCTCGACATAACGTATACGCAGTGCGGGCCAAAGTTGCGGGCCAAATGCATAACAAATAAATAACAAAGGCCTGACCATCATTATAACAAAAAAAAGGCAAAGGAAAAAGTTACGAAAAAATAAAAGAGGACAGTTCAAAGGATGGCGGGTCGCACTAATAAGTTTTAAGAAAAATGAAAATGAAAAATCGTTTGTGCATTTTTATAAGTGCAAAAATATGCAAATAGAGTAAATCATTACTGGACTGGACCAAAGGCAGACAAAGTTCTTCTTTGGCGAATATTTTTTTTCTATTGTTTTTCCCACTGCTGATGACTGCAGAAGGAGCTGGCCAAAATCATAATTTGGCGATTTATTTGTTTGTTTGCTTTATTTGCCCCGTCTAGGCCATTGAGAATTATGGTTTGTCTGAAGCCGACACACACAAAAAAGCAGCTGGGGTTGGAATAAATGTTCAACTTAAATATATAAACTGCCCCGTCGATATGCATTTAAAGTCGCTTTCGACCATTTCTCACTGGCAATTCAATTAGTTTTAATTGCTCGACTTGGCGGACGTTTAAAAATGCGACCCTTCGACACTCGGCCATCAATAAAATCAATGCAGGCCATAAATCTTCAAGCCTTTCGCTGCACAAAATCGGTATTTGAATGCCGAATCGAATCGAAACGAATATCTGGCGGAAACGGCGATAAAGGACCTTTTGTTGGACATATGCAGGCAGTCAAGAGGAAAGGACACAAAGCCTTGGACTTGGCTTGGCTTAGTTGCCAATTTCCTGGCCAGCGAGAAAAAAAGGAGAATTATTTGCCAGGATGTCCGAAACATTGTTGGTGTCAACAAATTCCTTTTCAACGGCTGCAAAAAAATGTTCAACCATTGCCAAGGCAAAAAAGCAAAAAAAAACGAAGCCCAGTGAAGACAAAATTAATGTGGAGACATTAGGGAATGTCCTTTTTGCCCAGAATGTCCTGTGCTCTAAGTCCTTGGCAATTAAATTTCGTGTTAATTTTTTGGCCCCCATTCCGGCCAATTAACTACTTACTAGGAGACCCAGAGCAGTGGGCAGATTTTTAATTGTTTTAATGGATCGTAAATCTTTTTGTACAACTTTTTGATTGCTGCAGCTTCTTGTTGTTCTTCTTCACTGCAGACGCTCATAAATTTGGGCATTTAAAATTTCGAAAATCCAACATAAAACTAGGCAATTTTATGACTCCAATCGAAAAGTAGACAAGGCAAGGGCATGGTAATAATGTATAGTATAGTATTTTCCCAAAAATTTAATTGCCTAAAGTACATTGTACTCTGGCGTGTATTTTTTGTTTCAGTTCAGTTCAGTCATAAAGGAATAAATCTGTCTATGAGATTAATTTCTGATATATGAATTTCGTTTCATCTTGCGTGATTTTCGGATTGAAATGGATGGGTTTTCGGTCTGCCTTGAAAAGGGTGGGTGTGGTAATCTCCTTCTAAACCAGACAACTCATCCTCGGCGGCTGTTCATTGAACCATGAGCACAGTCAGCGACAGGATTCGAAGGAGGCGAATATCTCCTGATGTGGGAGGGCTCTTTAACATTTTTTGGCCAAGGCCTATAAATTCGTTTTGGGGACCCCGACAAAATGTTGGATGGTCCTTCACCGGGCACGCCCTCCTGCGGCGCATTTAGCATTCCCGTTGTCATTTCTGTGTTGCATTTGGGTTTATTTATGTGGCGCCAGGCTGTTCTTATAAACTGTGTTGGGGGTTAAGGGGATTCCACTCTTTTTGGCGGGAGATTATCATCGCCATGTGGCAAGGACTCATAAGAATGTTGGGGAATGATTAAAGTACATTTGTAATGTGCTATTATTGACTTAAAGATTACACTTTAAGGAGTTGTCTTAAGGAAGTAAATCTTGTTTACATTTTTACTTAATGTTCCTTAGAAAGCTCTTTATTTATGATTAATGGGTTTATTTAAGTTAGAAATATTATTTTGTCTACATTTGCAACAAAACGTATCTGGGAACTATACACTGATAAAAAATGAACAAGAGTATGTAGCAATCTGCATGTTGAATTTAAAATGTTGTATAAAATATTTAAATTAATTACTAAGCTAAAATTTTGTAATACGAAACATTAAAATCCATGATTACATTTTATAATCTCTACCTCAAGGTAGAAAATATTAGTCATATTTACTTTAACCAATTTTTAATTGAATTAACTGGAATTTCAAAATAAAACCAACGTTCAAAAGCTTTTTATTAAAATATTCATATTAAAAACCTTTAAAAACCACCAAAAATGAAAATCAAACCGAAAATATTTAAATCGACTATGAAAATAGTGGATTTTCTATAATTTTTGTATTAGTGGACACACAGTTTTAATATTATAATATAATATTTATAATTATAATCTTAAAAATATTTGTTTGGGCTTTTTAAGAACATACAAAGGTTTCCTACATTTTCCTATTTTAATATTTTGAAGTAAAATAATAAAAACTATTGCGCAACTTATTAAGAATAATAATATTTTAGATGGTTTGGTTTGGATATAAAATTATATAAATCACTTTTTATATTTAACTTGAACACAAATAAATCTGAAGGGATCTACTCACCATTTTCCAGCACTTTTCCGCGCTCAGATGTTTTCCACTCCTCCTTCCTTTGAAATATTTCTTTCCTTTCTTTTCAGCTGTGCCTTACATCTTATGCTTTCACCAAGCCGAAAACTTCCCGCGCTGATTTAGGTTAAATATTATGTTTGAAAGTGCTTAATATAAACAAGTATCGCTGCGTTATAAAACTTTTGACGTTGGATTATAGACGTTCTGTATTGCACTAATGGTTTATGCTTGGTACTATTTCGTATTTATAAGTGTTTATAACGTCATACTTGCAGGGGATTATAGAATAATTGCTCAATTTATTGCTTGTTGAGTAGTTTATGGTCAGAGCATATGTGATTATGGTTCATATGGGGATAAAGCACTATTTAAACTATTTGAAAAATAGTTGTAGGTTGGGTATTATACATTTTTTTTGGGTTTTTTAAAAGTTTTTCTTGGCTATTACTACTATATAGTTGTTATTCTTTTATATTATGAATTTGTTTTGTCATTTCAAGTTGCTTGTTTTTATTGTTTCTCCATGCAGGTGAGTTACCATCCACTTCGAAATATTGCTGTTTTATATTAGTTAGGATCTTAGTCCTTTGTATTTTACATGTTTAAATATTTTTGGATAGCATCCTCCGATGTCTTGGGCGATGCTTATCCTTTGGGGCTCCACTGGCGTTTGCCTGGCTGCGTTTGACATGCGGCTGTGGCCAGGACGCGGACGAGTCCGAGTCCTTTCATTAAGCCTGGCCAGATGAAACAATCAGCTCCTGCCAACTAGCAGTTGTTCTTGCTGCTTGGGTCCGAGCCAGGGTTGCCACCACCTCCTCCTCCCTTTCATTTTTGGCACGTTGGTCAGTTGTTCAGTTTTTCGGCTATTTGCAAAGGCACACACTGTTACACACTCACTTTCAGCACCACAGAGCAACTGGTTGTTGCCTGTTCTTGTTGGCCGTTGCGGAGCCAATACTCCATATCTTATTTAATTGTTTATTTATTGTTTCTTATTTGCTGTATAATCGAGACGGACGTGGAGGTATCATTATTGGGCAGCGTCAGGTGTTTATTTCATACTGCCCAGGCTTCACTGTGGTCCATCCATGGCGACCGAGTAGCACTGTGTGTCTCTGTGACCGAGTGCCAAGCAGAGGGTGAGCTGTCAATTGCCCTGATCTTGGCCCTGATGTTTGAGTTGGCTAATCAAACGCGGACCGTGGCCAAAAAAGTGCGCTGCGTTTCCTCCTCCTCCTGCTGCTGCTTTTCCCATTTGGCCACATCCTGCGTCACCTGTTTTTGTTGTTGGCCGGCCAGCACTCTTCTTGGCTGGCTACGCGTCAAATTGAGACCCAAACTCCGCTGAATTGGCAGCCGTGTTGTGGATGCAGCCCGGACATGGACCCGGTACCCGGACCCGCAGTCGGATTCGGGCCCTGTCCGGTGTTGGCCGCCCTGCCAGCCTTTTGTTGGCTCGCCACACCAGACGCTACCAGTTTGTTGGCCAACTGACTGACGACTGGCCGTGCGGCCTGCCAAAAAGCGAGCCAGAGGCCCTCGAACGATTGCAACGTTCAGAACTCAGAACTCTGAATTCACGTTCCGTTCCGGCGTTCTCTTTGTCGCAGTCGTCTCTGCTTTTTGTGTCGTCATCGCATCGCATCGCCGTCGTCGTCGGGGGCTCTCCTTGCAGTCTCTCTCGCCCCCCTAATGCACATAGAAAAATATTTGGTTTATTCAAAAAAAGAAATTATGTCTACTCCTAAGTACAAATTGCAAAACATAACGAAAAGAATAAATTTGAAATTTACTATATACGAAAAGATATAGACTTTGATTATATGGTTTTGCATACGCGAATTCTTCAGACTTTTTAGATTTGTTTGTTGTTTAAAATGTTCTCAGTTACAGTCCTTCATAAATTTATGGTACTTTTACTTAAGTATGGCATGGCATGACATTCTTACATTGACTTGTCTTCCCTAAGACGCGAATTCTTTAGCTTCAAACATCACGAAAGGAATAAATTTGAAATTTACTATATACGAAAAGATATCGACTTTTATTATATGGTTTTGCATACGCGAATTCTTCAGACTTGTTAGATTTGGCAAGTGTTTTCAGTTACAGTCCTTCATTAATTTATGGTACTTTTACTTAAGTATGACATGGCATGGCATTCTTACATTGACTTGACATCCTTAAGACGCTAGTTTTTTAGCTCCATGTAATTTCGATTTTTTAGATTTGAAGATATTTTCTTGTGAGGAACTTGTATTTGTGTCATATTGCATATGTTACGTTGAAGTCACAATTCACATTTGATAACATTCTAGATGAAACATCGAAATACATTGAGACATAAACAAATTTAAATTATATGCTTAATATAGGGATTTAAAAATGTTACACCAGTTAAAAAACAATCTTTGATATATAACTAAACATTATACTCCTTTTTAATAAAAATATATGTTCTTTTAGCATATTTAATAAAAATAAGTTTTATAATAATAATATACATTTAACATAATTTCAAGTTAAGAAATTTTATTTGAAAGATATATTTCTCTGAGTGTTCAAGGGCTACGCCCCCCTTGCATTGGCACAGGCCACCACTGCCGCTGCTCGACCGCCCTTCCCCCTGACCCACGACCTGCGTCCAACTGGCGAAGCTCCAAGCGAACGATCCCCCCTCCCCCAGGGTTAAAATCGTGGGACTTCGTGAGCTCCTCGGAAAATGTTCGTCGCAGCGACCGAGCTTGTTTGCCTCTGCTGACTTCTCTGCGGACTTCTGCGCTCTTATTCTAAGTTTTTGAGTAATTTAAAATATTTTCGGGATCAAAATATTCTAATATTCCAGAGTTCCGGTGTTGAGCACGAAAAACAACACAACTAGATGATTTATGACTAGCACGTGGTTTTGGCGGGGCCAATTATGAAAGAGAAAGGGAAATATATCATAGTATTTATTAAAAGATAATATTTTAGTATCAACATTCCATAATTTTAGAAAACAATAAAATGCTGTTAAAGAAATAAATGTTTTGGCAAAAAAAGTTTGAAATAATAGTATTCAATTTATTCATAGATAAACAAGTAGGAACACAAAACAATTTTATACCATTAAGGATATCTTTTGGCTCCGAAATCTCGAATCTAGAAATCAATCGCTTGACATGACTAATCAAGCAATTATTTTACCCAATTGTTTTTGTGAAAGAAAACCAAATAGAGCAAGGTAATCTGCAGAGCAACAATCAATTTTTCCACCCCAATTATGAATGCAATTGCGATTCCAAGCGGAGCAAGCAGATCTGCCAGAGATATATAAATACGTATGAACATGGCTGCTTTTCGACAAAAGCATAAACGCTGCCATAAAATTAGAATTTAAATGAGGCAGTAAAAAGTGCAAGAACTACGAGGGAACTACGAAGAAAGGCCCTTCGAGAACTCCTCGAGCTAAATGAATGCAAATGGTCAACAGGTTTTAGCACATGCAAGGACACATCTTCGCAGGGCATCGATGCCAATCAGAATAAGTGGACTTAGGGAAGCCCTCGAGTACCCCAGGATCTAAGGACCAGCCATACGCTCTCATCCTGAGTGGATACTTTGTCTGAGTTATGAAACGAGTGGCGCCAGTGTAAAAATTTTATGCAAGCGAAAAGCAAAAATCTCGATGTAAAATTTTAACCAGCGCTAATAAATTTCTAATAAATGCATGTTAAATAAAGGCCACAATGTTGTAACGGCACTGGAAGAAATTAAAGGTGGGATTTTACAAATGTTGAGTAAAGACTAAGCAAACAAAATAAAATAAAATTTAATTATTAATTATTAAATAATTAAATCTATTTCTAAAACATTGTTGGGACATTATCATAAGATATTTAAAAAAATTTTTTTTTTAATTTTAATAGAAGAAAGATTTTAAGAAAGATTTACCGTTCATAGCAGTGGGAATTGATCATTTTTTTTCAAAATAAAATACTAGAAAGCCTTAGAATTTCTCTCAGTGCATTTTTAGGGGCCGAAAGTCGTGTGTGTTAATTGAGCACCGATTACGCGTCCATTAATATGGCCACCAAACGCCAAAGGACGAAGGACGAAGGATGGGGGTCAGTTAACCACCGGCAGCAAAAAGTGTGACAACAATGCGAGCCACACGTTGACCGCAGCAGCACGTGCTGCCAGAGGCCAAAACAAGTTCTCCCCTCCAAATAGCTCGTTCCTTAAACCGGATCCCCACCTGCCCTCCATCTAATGCCGCACCATCCTCATCCGAATCGAGGGAACTGCTGTTGCTGTCGCCCTGTTTCCGCTACCAACTAAACGTTTATTTATTGCCCAAACAGCGCCAAAGGACAACAACGCCATCCCCGGTCCCCAAACCACTTTCCCTCCGATTCCTGCACCACTTCAGCGAGACAAAGGCCAAACCAAAGATAAACATACGAGTTCACGCTAGGGTGGATATCGGATTTATTTCGTTTCTGGGGGTTCTTAAAAAATATATATTATAGAACATTTTATTTAAACCTTATCAGTTCCCTTTAATTTTTAATATTTATCAAAATATATTAGATATTTATGCAATTAGTAAACCTTTCCTTTAAGACTAATCATATAAATGTTATTCTTATTTGTTTCTATCAGGTTGTATACTTGATAAATTAAAAACAAATAATTAAAATTATCTCTAACTAAAATGATTAAAATTATTTATTTTATTAATTATTATTTTATTTATTTATTTCTTAATAAATAGTATTTAGGTTTCGTAACCCATGATATTTTTTAAAGTTCTTAGCGCATATCTCCATGGTTCCTTATTGTAATGATTGAAATGTTATTCTTATTTTTTTTAGGTTGTATACTTGATAAATTAAAAAATATAATTAAAATATGTCTAACATAAATGATTACAATTATTTTGTTATTTTTTTATAAATAGCGTTTTGGTTTCTTAGCACATGATATTGTTTAAAGTTCCTAGAGCATATCTCCATGATTTTTTTTAAATTCTTTTATAATTTTATAATGTTGGCTTAAAAATTATGATATTTCATAAATTTTTGTGGCTATCTGTTGGCTTTAAAAGATATAGACAAAAGTTCCACTTCTGTATAAAATTATACTTTTAAAGAAAATACATTTTTCAAGTTCACCCTAGTGTAAAAACCCATCCCCCATTTACTGAGCATCCAGTTCTACTGTTGCCAACAGTTCTTCTAACTGGGCAGTAGAAGCCCATTGAAAACTGGGCTGGGGAATCAGGCTGAGGGCAAAAAGCGAGAGGACGCCACACATCTTGATTTTTGCCAAACAAAACATTTTTCGAGCACTTGCTCACCGAGACGGCGATGGCTATAACTGTATTTGGTTATGTTAGTCACGTGGCCTCCACTCGGTTTTTGCCAAATTGCTGGACACCAGAGGAGGATGTATGAATTTGGATGGAAAGGGTTAACTTTCCTTGACTGGAAAAACCGCAGTATTTTTTTAGTGGTAACCGAAGGACTTTGTAAGTGAATGGACAAGGGAAAAGTTACACAAGTTTTGGGTGTTGTAAAAAATTCTATGGGACACTTAAACTTTTTTAAAGAAAAAATATAAATTATAAGGCAGTCAATTTAAAGATTTAGTTTATTTGTTTATCAAGAAGTTACTAAAATGCCCGTTTAAAATCCTCTGTTAAAGGTTTTAATCCTTCACCCCAAACACTCCTAACATTTTCAGACTTGGCCTAATATGTTAGTCTGTTGGCCTTATCTTTCCCTTCTTTTTTCTCAGCTTCTTAAACCCCCAAAATCGTTAGGGTTTTTCTTATTTTATTTTTTATCCCACTGCCAACACAGGAATTTCTAATCGTTTTCCTGGAAATTACCTTCCATCCGTTTTTCGGTTTTTGCTGAAAGGCGTCGAGTTGATAATTTCCTAAGCCCGCACAAACTGCCGAGCGGAGACAATGAAGAGTCACCCACATTATCGAAATGTTTTCAGGTCATTAAGTTTGTCCGCAGACGAGTGAGGTGGAACATCCCGAGCAGAGAGGCCAAGAAGGGTTTACACCCAAGTTAAGCGAATAGAAAAACAATTGAAAATTGAAGTGGCAATTAAAGTACCTACGTTTTTTTGGGGGAATACTCTGAAATACTCTGGCCGATCTGGGATGGCAATTTAATGCACATATGCCGAGATTTATGTGTTTTGCACGAAGGGCAAGACAAAAGCGACATTTCGCTTTAGACAATATTTTTCTTTCGAAGGATGGCAAAGGCACTCTGCCATAAAGAAGGAATCATCTCGTTCCATTTCCAAGTGCTGGCATTTAAATGCACGAAATTGTTTTTGCCCCTTGCTGGCATCCTCTGACAGGATGCGAAAACGTTTGAATATTCCTTTCTCTGCCCCAAGAACATTGTATCCTTTTTCTATCCCTCCCCACCCATATATGGATATTTATTTTGTTTTGTCGCTGTCGGCGATTTTTTTGCCTGGCCGCGTATTTGGCATCGCGATAGCGCCAGGA